AAAAAAAAAAAAAAATGAAGGAACATCAGGAATGCTAACTTCACTTACTGTCCTGTAGACACCAGTATGCTTTTACGTAGACAGTACAGTATTTTAATGGGTGTGACCTGCAAGTAACTTTACAGTGAAAATTGGTTTTAACTCTTGTGATTTTCATAGGTTGCTTCTTCAGATGGGAAAAGTATTTCACTGTGAGACCCAAAATGTAGGTTCCAGCCCTGGTTCTTTCCCTTTAGAACACTCATGTTTTAGGGGTCTGCGCCTGCCATTGCCCACCTTCATCCATTAGGTCTTCTACACTCCCAAATGAGACATTATCTTGCAGGAGTTTCTGTGAGTCTGGGTCAGTGGCTAGGAGGCTGTACCTGGTCAGTGGAAATGTCCTGTAGGGCAGAGACCTAAGGACAAGGCATCAGGGTGGAGATAGGTAGAGGTCAGTGCAGGTGGCTGCTGCTTTCCTTCCAAAGTACTGTAGTCATCATTTTGAGTCTTCCCTGAGGCCACGGAGCAGCCTCCCCCAACCTGTTAGCCGAGGTGGAGCTGGGCAGATTCTCTTTCTAGCACCCAAACTGTCTTTAAGTTGCTAACTAATCTGGCATAGTCAAGCACTTTATCTTAATTTTGGGGGATACTTGGAATTGAACCCAGGGCCTTGTGCAGGCTAGACAAGCACTGCCACTGAGTTGTGTCCCCAGCCTTTTCTTTTCTCTTTTGGCTCAGGCTCTCACTAAGCTGCTGGACTGACCTTGAACTCTCTGCCTCCTGCCTCAGCCTCCCAGTTCACTGGGATTTCTGGCATGTGCTGCTATGCATAGACAAACTTTTATTTTTAAGTAAACTTTTATTTTAGAACAATTTAGATGTAGAGAAATACTGATTAGGTAAGGATAGTTTTCCTATGTCCCCTATGCAGTTGCCTCTATGGTTGACATCATACATTGCTATGGTTCAGTTGTTACAGTTGATGAGCAGTGCTGATACTTTCTTCAGTGTCTGTGCTTCATTCAGATTTCCAGTGCCCCCTTCACATGTGCTCCGCCACTGAGATACACCCTTCTTCTGCCTCCTCCTGACTGTGCCAGTTTCAGATGTTCCTTAATGTTCCTCACTATTTTGAGTAGTTGTGGTCAGGTATTATTCAGAGTGTCCCTCAGTTGGATTTTTGTCTGCATTTTTCTTACGATTAGCTGAGTTTGTAGTTTTTGTAGTTTTTAAAGTTACTTCCCCTTCGATCCCCGGTACCAAAAAAAAATAAAGTTACTTCCCCTCTCTCACTGTGTTCTTTGGAAGTCACTGTGAAATGTCCACCCCCACCCCCACCCCCCGCCAATCTCATATTAGGGATTGAACCCAGGGCCTTTGACCTAAGCTATATCTCTGTTTCACAAAGCTTAATTTTAGTGTCTTGGTAAGTTGCCTAGGCTGGTCTCAACCTCCCATCCTCCAGTCTCAGCCACCCATGCTGGCATTAGAGGCATGCACCATCAGACCTGGCTGAATTGTCCACCTGTGGTGTCACATGCCTGTAATCTCAGCACTTGGGAGGCCGAAGCAGGAGGATGGTGAGTTCCAGGCTCACCTGGGCTACATGAAGACACCCTGTTTAAAAAAAAAAGCAGGTCTCTGTGCGTGTTGGGACTTTGTCGCTGGTGAGGCTGTGAGGAGTCAGTGAGGAGAGGAGTCGGTGGTGGAACCTGTGGCCAGGGTCAGCTGTGGCTTCCAACCGAAATTAAGAGGCAAGCGAGAGGAGGGACAGGTCCTCCTGCTTCAGTTTCCTTCCAGCCTGCAACGCAGCTGTGCTGCAGCGCCCTGGGACCTCGCCTTTCTCCTCTGGACTAGCCACGGAGCACAAAGTCCAGCAGCTCGGGCAGGTATACTGGTCCAGCCAGTCACAGCCCCTGCAGTTCTGGCTGCAGCATCTGACCCCTGTGACGCTTGAAGTGGGAGGGAAAAGTCCATGTTATGTTCATAAAGATTGTGACCTAGACGTTGCTTGCAGACAAATAACCTGGGGAAAGTTGATGAATTGTGGTCAAACATGCACCATTCCTGACTATATTCTCTGTGATGCCTTCCTCCAGAATCAGATTGTGCAGAAGATTAAGGAAACTGAAGGAATTAATGGAGAAAATATAAAAGAATCTCCTATTTATGAAAGGATCATCAATCGTCATCTCTTTAAGAGGATAGAAAGCTTGCTTGAAGGACAAAAGATAGCTTTTGGTGGGGAGACTGATGAGACTACATGGTATCTAGCCCCAGTGATACTTACTGATGTTGATCCTAAATCCAAGGTGATGCAAGAAGAAATTTTTGGACCAATTCTTCCAATAGTGTCTGTCTGTGAAAAATGCAGATGAAGCCTTAAACCTCATAATGAATGTGAAAGGGCCCTGGCTTTCTATTTTCTCATAGCAATAAGCTCATCAAACTGAGGATTGATGAGAAATCCGGTGGTGGTGTCACAGTCCCTGATGCCCTCATGCAGTTTACACCCAATTCACTGGCCTTTGTGAGGGAGAAGGTGCCAACAGACTCAGATATCCTCCCGTCAGCCATGCAAAGGTAAATTTGGCAAAGTTCTTGCAGCTTAAACAGTTCAACAAAGGAAAATTTGGGCTCCTGTTGCTCACTTTTCTGTGTACAGTGGCAGCGGTGTTCTTCAAGGCTGGATACTACTGAACAATGATCTTCTTAACCTCTTAGTTGCCTCTACTGAATTATTTCTGTACTCAATGGTTAATGAACCAGTAATTTTTTTTTTTTTGGTACCGGCGATCAAACTCAGGCCCTTGTGCTTGGGAGGCAGGCGGCAAAACCACTGAGCTAAATCCCCGGCCCATGAGACCCTGTCTTAATGGGAAAAAAAGGGGGAGGAGGCTAGGACGTAAGGGGTGCCCCTCACCCATTGAGACTTGAAGAGTTGACCTCCAGAAGCTGGCCCTCTGGTCAGACTTGGTCTCCATCCTTCCTCATCCTCTGTTACCTGAAAGGTTTTTTGCTTGTGGCAGTCTGTGTGCCTGTTCAGAAATACTTTTTGTGACTTGTATCACTCAGAGCATTTGTAAGTTATAAGGCTTCCTTGAAGATATCTCTTATTCATATGGTGGTGTTTTGTTTTTTGTTTTTTTTGGTACCGGGGATCGAACTCATGTCCTTGCGCTTGCGCAGCAGTCGGGGAAACCACTGAGCTAAATCCCCGGCCCCATATGGTGTTGAAGTGACAATTCTCCATGTTATATGACCTAACTTGAATTTTTAAAGTGCTTTAATAAAAGTAATTACAAAAATACTTAGCTCTCAGGGCCTTAAGGTTGCAAATTAGTAAGTCTTCAAGGACAAACCTTTTAAAGAATCTCATTTCTATAGCACAATGCAAGTCCATTTTACTCTTTAGCTTTAGAAAGACCACTTTTTGAATAAGTTCAGCTTAGTGGGGAAGTCATTTCCTGTCATAGAAAAAGAGGCCTTGGATGTCAGGACTTCGGGGCTGAAGAGCCTCATGGGTCACAGAGCTGGTGGCTCCTGAGGAGAAA